ATGCATCTTCAATGATATTGTTAAGTATATGAATAGGGATGGCAGTACTATTGCCTGGAAGGGCAATATAGTTATAGAGTAAAAGTATTTTGAATTTTGTAAAGATATTGTTTAGGCGATTTGTAAGCAATTTGGTGTATAATTTTTTAGTATGCTTAAGAAGACTAATAGGTCTTGTGTTGGTGAGATTATCATCAAAGATTGGTTTTTTGGAGATTGGGAAGATTCTACCTTCTTTCTATTGTTTTGGTATATGGTTTGTAAAGATACATCTATTAAAAAGAGTGGTAATTACTTGAAGAAATGGTAAGCCTGCATGTTTGAGTAATTCATAGTTAATGCCTGAAGGATCACAAGCTTTATTGTTTGGAAGTTGAGCTAATGTTGAATTGAATTCATCAGTAGTAAATTCAAAAAAAGTATTGTTATACCATTTAGAGTTTATGTCTGGTTTGGATTTATATTCATTTTGCTAGTCGGATTCATATATTTGTTGATTAATATGTTAGTATGATGTCCATTGATCAAAATGTTGTTGGATATAAAGTTTAATATTAGGTGCATCAATAATAAGATCATTGTCTGTTCTGATGTTGTCAAATTTGACAGAATCTTTGTGTCGGTTAAGAATACTATTAATTATTGAGGTATGGTTTGTTTGTAATTTATTACATCTTTTAGTAATGTTGTTATTAATTTGTTGTTTAATCTCTTTGATATTTTCTATATTATGAGTATAATATGATGTTTTTCATTCATTTTTGGCTAAGCCTAACCAGTTTGTTAACAGATTATATTCAGCTGATAGTAATAGAATATTGAGATTACAAGATATATTAATATAGGTAATAAGTTGGTTATAATGAAATGGAATAGGTGTTAAGTGTTGAAGTGCATGTTTGGTTTGTTGAATAATATTGCCAAGTTTTTTAAAATAATGGTATAATTTTGAAGCCTTAGTAAAGAAAATATGTTGGAAATTTCTGACTATAAATTTTTTGTTAAAAATGTGTTAAAGAGCTGCAGTAATAATACTGTTTTCAATTTTATGCCATGTAGATTCTAAAGATTCTGAGGTTTGTATATTGAGTGGTGTTTAATTATTAATTAAGTTTAATGTTACTTAATCTGAAAAAAGTTGCCATTGTTTATTATTCATGTTCTTGTATAAGAATATTCTTCATCAAGTTTTGGTCGAATAATAGGGTTTGCCTGAGTATGCATAGGGAAAAGACCAATTGGAAATGAGAATTTTGTGGTCACTTTGAGTACTAGTATCAGGATCTTCAATAGCAAAAAAGTTAAGATAACAGAGAAGAGGTTGGTTAGCCCAGATATAGTCAATGCTACTATTATATCTGCTGCTATACCAAGTAGGTATAGAGGATTGTGTGTAACTAGCTAAGTTATATAAATTATTATATTAAAGGAAGTAAAGTAGTTTGTATTTAAGTGAAGAAGATTGAGTAAGATAATCAGATGCATTAAAGTCACCTAGGATAATGTGTTGTATATTTAGAGTAATAGCTTGTTGAATCCATTGAATAATAGTATTCTGTACTGATAGTATAAGTTGAGAGTTATCACATGATAATTAAATTAAAATAATTCTAAACTTGAAATCATGTTTGAAGAAGAGGTCTACTGCGATAGCATATCCAGAAAAGAGTAGGATTTTGTGAATGTAACATTTAATAGACTTAAGAATCATAATAGCTATGCCAGCTTTTAGATTATCAGTACAGGACCAAAGATAAGTAAAGTGTTTGGATTTTTGTAATTTGGTTATAGGGTTATTTGCAGTAATTTTAGTTTCTGTAATATTAATAATTTTGAGGTTGTTAAAAAGACAGAAGTCTTTTCAGATTTGTTATTTTAAATCTTTATTGTAGCCTCATACATTATATGTACAGATTAGTAAGTCTAGTGGTTTGGAGTTTGTTTGTGTTGAGTTGTTAGAAGGAGATGAGAATAAACTGTGGTAGTTTGGAGGTAATAGCATTTTATTAACTTTGCTACATTTAATAATTTTTAATGTAATTTATTAAGTATCTCCTTGTCTAATATTCTGCAAACTAACAGATTACATGCTCTGACAAAGTTTGCAAGAATATGCTAGTTTAGTTTTGTTAATAAATCTCAAGTAATTGTAGTGCATATATCATTATAAATGTTTGTTACTGGTCTGCAATATATCCAGAGAATCCTTCTTCTATAGCAATTTTATAAATAATTTTTTGCCTTTTTATCTATAAGTTTTAGACTATTAAAACTTAATTTTTATCTTTTATCCATAGCCATATAACAATCTATTTTGTAATTTCTAAAAATAAACAATGCATTGGGTCTACAGTTACATGTCTAATTAAATTAAAATAGGGAAGATTATAAAGTTCTGACCATCTAATAAAGTATTTAGATAAATGTTTTTTTTTTTAATCCTCAGTCTTGCACTATAATCATGCATATACATTTAATTTTATCAAAATCACATTCTACAAACCAGTCATCCATATCTACAAATTTACCAAAGTTAGGTTGATGTCTAGCATCAAACTACACATGTTTTTTACATTAAAAGCATGCAATTCTTGCTAATATTTGTCTATATAACTTTCTAGCTACCAGAATATCACATAAGTAGCATATAACAGCACATTTAAATTTTTTATATTCATAGATAATTCATTTGTAGTGATTTTTATTCCATTTTACAATTTAAGTAATTGATTAACTAAAGGTGCAAGATAATGATTAATGTGATATAATTTAACTTCTTTCAGCCTTGGTAATAATGCAAGAGTGATTATATTTTGAGGCTTAAATCTAAGTTCAGAGGGCAAATTGCAAATAACTGCATATATTGCTTTAGTAGAATATATAGAATTTTGAAAAGAACTAGTCTAAATTAATCATTAGGTCTAAATATGTATCAGCATGCTTAGCTGTAAAGAAATTTGTATTTTGAACTTTAAATGTCTTTCATATATTATCTTTATAGATATTAGCAAGATAATTATTATTTATTTTTTTATTAAACTATTTTCTGCATGATGCTTCAAATCCTCTTTGGCTGTATAATAATTGGAGTTGATTTTTAATATTTATTATTAGATAAGAAAATAAAATATGATACAATATTCTATCTTTTGTAGATACTTTCTTTGCCAATAGTTAATTACAAGATTGTCTTATTTTAAACATTGGATGATTAGAATATTTTACAAAGGGTACAATGAAGACATATTGAAATTTGTCTAGGCTTTTTTGTTATTACTTTATTATAGTTGTATAATTTATTACATGCTAGACACATTGTGTAATTATTTATACATAAACCTAATTCTATTAACTTTTAGACCAAATAGAATGATTTAGAAAAGTTTGTAAACTGATCTTAATCAATATAAGTTAATACATAATGAATAAATTTAAGTAAAGAATCTGTTGCAATGTCTAGTAACTAATATTTTTGTTGGTATTTCAAGATTCAAATTAATATTTAACTAAATCTTTTATTATGATTTCCAATATCTTTGAATATTTCTTCTTCATTGCTTTCAATATTAGAAGTTGAATAGTCTAATATAATATTCTTATCACTTTCAGGTTCTATTTTTATAACTTCTTCATCATAATTTGAGGTAACTAAATACTCTTCAACTAAATCAATATATAGTTATTCTCTAATTATAGGTTTTTTTTCTTTTATCTTTTGTAACTAGAAGAAATAATTCTTCTTGAAAACTAACATCTATTAAACTAGAAGTTGGAATACTAATTGATATGTTACTGCTTTCTATTTGAGGATTAGAGAAGAAGAAATATCAGGTTGAGGTTTAACAAAACTTACAAATTCTTTACAAATTTCATATCTTTTAATATAAGTATTTCTTGTTCAGAAATTATAGAGTTCACTTTTACCTTTGCATACTTTACATATACAAATAACATTTTTTTGTCTTTTTAATGCAGTTAACTTAATAAATAATTGATAACTCATTTTTAAAAAGTGTTTTAGGAGTTACAGTGTTTGATATAATGAGATAAGGCAGACAAAAGTTTTTTAAATACAAAATTATATATATATTTTAGTAATATATTTTTTATTTGCTATTTAACTATAATTTTTTATGATAAATAAATTTTTTTTAATACAATAAAGCCCAATCTGTAAAAACAAAAAGAAGTACAAAAATAATGCATTAAGTTATTTAATAAATTTCTTTTTATATTTCTTTGGCAACCTCTTACAATCACAAAACTTTTTTTTTGAGACAATTTTAAAGCACAAGATGTATATTTAATTACAGGACCATTAAAACTATTTAGAAATTTTCTTTTTAATAACAATTTATTTTTAAATATAAAAAAATTTCTTGCACTATCTTTCAAAGTATTGATATAATAAAAAATAAAAAACCTCAAGAAATACATATATACCAGAATAAAACTATTAGTAATTTGACTATTAAAATAAACAATAAGAAATAGGATTCAATTTTTTTAATAACTTTATTTAACAATAAGACCATAGACCATTAATACTATTTAGAAATTTTTTTTTTGTAACAATTCATTTTTAAATATAAAAATTTCTTGTACTATTTTTAAGAATTGATACAATAAAAAATAGAAACCTCAAAAAATAGATATACTGTTACAAAGTAGATTTTTAGCATAGCATAGTATATTATATTATTAGTAGTTGTTTTATATTTATTATTGTATTTTATATTATATTTATTAATAGTTATTAGCATAGTTATATTATAGTATATAGTAGTTAGAAAATAGGATCTTAATTGGCTGTTAGAAGTGTGATAC